GAACCGCTTCATCAAGTTATGGACCCTATCCGGTCGACCTATCAAAGCATGGGCGCTTGTGGCCCAGCGTAGCTCAGTCCGCAAACAACGGATCAGTAGCTTGGGCGATGTCATCACTATTAAATGCAAATTACGACGCGGCTTGAGCACAGATTACAAAGATAACAAACAAAAAATACAACAAAAATTAACAGTTAATAAATGCAGTTCCTATCAAATCGCGTTGAATAGAATTACACAAATACGAATTACTACGTATCAACCAAATACAAGTTAGCACAAAAGAAAAGGCACAAATCAAATTAACAAATAACAAATACTAGTGCGATCAAATCAAGTTAAATTTAAATGGCGCAAATACCAGTACTACTCTTTAGTTCAAATACAAATTACAGTATAAACGAAGATACACATCACGGTCGATCAACAAAAATGCCTAGCTCGGAAATCGAACCTTCGATAAGTAATCCACTACAACTATCCGACAACGATAATTAACCGATTACGTAAAAATAACCATCTACCTACATGACGTATATCTCTAGAAAAACTCCCGCTTGCACAACCTAGGGCGCGGCTTTTCAAATTACCCTCTAACCAAAAAAAAGGCAAGCAACAAAGCAACAAAGGAAAATAATTCTATTATTACGTACAAAAAAATATTTTTACGTATTACGGACGGGCGTGATTGTAGATGCAAATTAAACCAATCACACCAACGCTCCCTGCCACCAAAATTGTTTAATGTTTATCAAACACTATAGTCGGGATCGACCGGGAATCGAACCCGGAATCGCGCTCTGCTACCAGTTTGTTACGGCCTACGGCTGCTCCCTTAAAGGATCCAATCTTCAGGGGCCCATGAGCTGAAGACCTCCCGAACAGACGTAGGTCGGGCTTTAATGTGGCCACGTGGAAGTTCCTAATTACATTAAAATATATGGGGGAGCGTTATACTACGGCCAGTCGACCGGAAGGAATTTGGATGAAGCTTACTTACCTATCCAAGGCGACTGGTCCCTCCGGAGTCGGTCAGGTCACATGTGGTTGTGTAGTGCAAGGGAAAGAATGGTGATGTGGTGTGTATCTGGGTGTGACTGATGGTGATTGAACCTAGAACTTGGCCGTCGGCAGCAGCCCGAGCGTCGACATCGCTCCACTTGAGGGGGCCTTTCGAGGTTATCCACAGTCACTTTCTTCTTTCGTCACGTTGACAGTCAATTTACTCTATCGTACGATTTACTAACTTACAGATGCCACTAACTATCGCTGGGTATAATGGTTACCGCACAAACGCACACGGAGTTTAAAGGGTCAAAGGTCACTACCGTTTCGCGTAGCAATAGTTAATTCTAGAATCAGAGGCCGCACTATCTAATATTGCCGAATGCACTTATGCAGGTTTTGAGTCAGACACAATAAGTCCCGGGAAGCTCTCCAGTAGGAATGCGCGTCACAATGATAGACCGTATATTTACTGGCCGCGCCGAATTATTCCGAGTTCCCTAACAGAATGGACCGCGTGCTCACGTCAGCACCGATTATGGACGACTGACTGCCCTTGGGCGTTTTTCGCACGACCGAAAGTCAAACCGGTATGAATGCACCGCGCCGAGCGCCCTCTCGCGTCAATCCTTGAAAGTGTTTTGCGCGAACAGTTATAACTATTAACAAAAAGTAAAAACCGACTTCAAATTGCTAAAAAAAAATATTTATTTGCTACCCTAAGGCGTGGAGTTTTTTGTCCAAATTTATATGGGACCACCCTTAAATTATAAGTTATTTAATAAAAAAAAATAATTAAAATCGGTTCTCGGTAATTGCAGTAGTTACTCATACGTGGTAAGGTACTTATACTCTTCATATGTGGTAGATCTATGCTGCAGTTTAATACCAAGAGTACTACGAATGAAACTGTAGCCCTACAATAACTACTAAACTAAAAAATAAGCGTAAGTTATATGTCAGGATCTGTCTCTTGTGGATCGATCCCTTCTGCCTAGCCTGTAAAGGACAACGAAAAGCTATGGTAATAATACATAAGACGTTTTCTACAGCTTACCATTTTCTATGGAGTTGTAACGAAATTTTTATTAATCCAAGTGTATTCCATAAGTTGGTCGACTATTATTTTTTATGTGATATATATAATATAAACTGTAAATCCTTTACTTGAGGAATGTTACCACACTTCCCTTCTGGTAACGAATTTTACATTATCATTGGTACTAAAAATACTTTTTTTATTATATTACTAATATGAAACATAACAGAACTACACAACACGCTCTTTTTCTCGTTTAAAACTTAAAAATACGCTTAAATTCTTTGAGAAAAACAACGGCCATTTGCATATTATGTCAAATTTAGTTCCGGATTCCTTCAAATCGGCACAAACGTTTTGTAGGGTATATAGCCAGTCCAGCATACTATTGAAACGAAAACTGACCTCCACATACACGGAGGTCAGTGTCTGTTTCAATAAAATGAACAGAAAAGATAAAGTCGTGCATATTATTATCGTATTTATGTAATTGATTTATGTTAATATTACATACATCGTCCTTTGCCTAAAGATAAGGGCTATCTTCTCCAATTTCAAGAATCTGTCATGACAGCTGTATGACTTTGGTATTTTGTTATAATTTTGAATAATATTATCGTTTTAGATCAAAATTGAAACGTGGTCTAATACGAAAATAATATTATTGAAATCAATGCTCTATGCAATCAACTGTGTGGCGACACAATACAGTACTATAATACATACACAATACTAATTCTGTGGGTCACACAGTGTAATTACGGAGTGTGAGATACTTCATCTTAGACCTCAATCGGGACGACGTATCTAAGAACTTTTGCTTAAAGTAAGTTCCTAATCTCGTTAACAGCCACTTGCAATCAGCTGTCTGTCCCGTTAAAATTAAAAATAAAAGTTCGTAGGAGTAGGACGGGACGGACTCTCGTATCTATTTATTTCTGTCACTAAGCCAGAGCACAACCAGAATACAACCGTGGGTACAATGTTTACAGGCAGTTGAAATGTGGTAGGGATACGATGCAACAAATTATGACTACGGACTACATTTGATGGGGAAAGAACAACGCTCGCACATAAAACCAACGTGAAATAGCAGCACAGTCTTGGTGAGTTTTAGGGTGAACGTAGCGAAACGTTCCATCTTAGTACTTAGGTGCGACATCGCTTCTGCCTTTTGATATTTATTGAGGGCCTTTGTAGAAATATACCCACAGTACTCACTTACCAATAAGTCTAAACACGATTATCTCCCTTCTTGTTCTTTAAATTTAAAATATGTGACATAAATCGCTTTCTGACAACATAACACCAGTTATCTCTTTTACCTGATCTATGTGTCTCTTTCTTGGTCATCTCTTTCAGTTTCCCTCTATGTTTTCTTCGATTATGTTCCTAAGTTATGTCGCGTTACAGCAGGAGCCCTAACCAAGAATCCTTCTATTTTTAATCAGTGAAATTATTGGGACTTTTCTCTTATCTATATTTGTGTACAGATTTATTAGTTTTTTTGTGTGACCCTTATTCCTATAAAAATGAAATTGTATAAAAATGATCATGTTTTAAGAAGTAATTGAGCCAGTTCAAACACCAGCTATGATATCCATCTCAATCCAAAAGAGTGACAAGGTAGCACACGGCTCACTTGATAATTGCCTATCACAACACAAGAACTTCAGAAAATGACAAATTCATTGACAGCCTAAAAATGATGGGGACACTAGCCTCTGCCTATAAACTTACTTAACAACTCATATCTCAATGGTAATTAAAATGAATTAAAATTTACTTGGACTACATAAACAACATATTAATTGTTAACAATCAAATAGAATCTGTGGAAAACAGCACTCTCCTAGTAAGTATTTCTTATGAAATGAAAATCGTCAAGTATCATTTTCAAAGAACGTTATCAAATATTGATGTTCGCAGTACCAGTGTTGAATAATATTAATACCAAGTTATTCTAATTATTGTTTATAATTATTATAAATGGATAATTATTGTGGAGAATGCGTTAACCTTACCATTTACGACATATTATTATTCCATAACTATGAGAATCGTTATATATGTATATTTAATAATTTGTAATCATTACCTAGAATCATAGTGGATTCCAACAACAATATATGAAAATTTCACACAATTTTTCAATAAAAAAAATTGAAATACGTTTAACATTTCATTTCATTTTACAAACAGGCTGAGAAGCGATGGTATATTAACTAATAATGATTAGGTATTCTATCTTAGCTCTCAAAGGATGACGCAACCTTTTGATCCTTTATCGACATCGACGTCCACAATGGTGAAGACAATAGTGACCACTAACATCAAGTGTGTATGCTTGTTTGTCATTTTATATTCAAACTAAAAAAAAATTTAAACAAAGCCACTTTCAATCCTTAAATTAGTTAAACACAATGAAATCTATGAAAGCGCTTTCTGAAAATCTCCGTCGTATGTTTTTTAAACATGTTCAAACCAAAGAAAACAGAAATGAGCATTGTGGAATTGTGGATTGAAATCTCAATATTAGTTACATCTTACTTCAATACTACTGTTCAATAGTTTAGTTCTCTTGTATAATTTACTTTGCTTAAAATTCCTTAAAAGAGCTATATTTCACAAGATTTTTTTTTTAATTTGGCGTGTATAAACACTGAGACTGTGTTGAAAAGGAGAGAGACATTTATATAATTTTTAATATTGTTGATTAAGTTTAAAGAAGTTGCCAAAATTGATCTTCTAATTAGAATTTCTATCACGTTTTTTTTTAAACAGCGTTTAAGGAGAGGACATAGTCACGCACTGAGCCTAGTTATAAAAACAATTGTTTCCAAGTACTCGTGAATGTATTCCCACAAACGGTTACGATTACGTCGTTTATAATCCGTTAAGATGTATAAAAGGGTTATTCGTATTAATTCATCCTCAGTTAAGTGAACGAGCAGTCATGAGACGGGCACTGTGTTATTTTGGATTGGCCACCCTGCTTGCCTTTGGCGATGCATCAGGTAAATAAAAGTGTTATATTATTTATTTTATAAAATTCAAATGACAAGTAAACTTCCAGCTGTCTACCTGATGGCAAGTGGATACTGTTGTACATATATTTATTATTACAGCCCATTCATTTACTCTATTTCTAATTTTCTTGTTTGTAAATTAATTTTATTTAAAAAAAAAGTTCCGATGGATTTCTTGCTGATTCTTAGCAGGGCAGAAGTATTTTTTTTTTCGTACCAGTGGCAAAAAATGACTTTCAATTAGTCACATGTAATTTATATTAAATAAAAATAGTTCTCTTGTATTATATTCTAACACAAAATTTATTCAATCGGCAGATAAAAGTTATCCATCAAATAATAATATCCTATTCAGTGATAAGTGTAACAATAACTATTCTAGTTATACAACTGTAATTTTTAAGTTGTATTTTACCCTATAAATAGCATTTGTACAATGATTCAAAAATCAACCCCTAAACGAACGTAAAAAGTCAAGTATTGTAAATTAATAATATAATTTCCTTGAACTTTATACAGCATATCGTTTCAAGGTTTTGGCCTATAAGATAATAATTATTCAACAATAAATAGGTTTGCTATATTCAGACCTAATTTATAGTATAATTAAATAATAGTAAAGATATCGTTTTAAAATTAATTTCGAAAAAGGCAACACGGCTGTGATCTTAAAACAAATGCAATATTCCCAAATATTTTTTAATAGTCACCTTACTTTTTCTAAGTCATCCCCAATAGACTCAACAGAAACAAATGAAAATTAAGAATTTGAAATAGCAGCATCATACCAGCAAACAATATTTCGTTACGGTTTCTAATTAAGGTTCTAATAAATTCATAAAAATTGTATTTTATGGTGAAGTTTCTATTTTGCTTTCGTTAAAGATATTGGTTTCAAGGCACCCGTTTCAAAATTTTAATATCACAAGTTTCATGTTATGGTAGGGTAAGGAGGGAGACCCTGTTAAGTTACACAGCACAATTTCTAACGTGACATAGGCCAGAAAATAATGTAAACGTTGGGTCCTTTCACACTTTCAAACAATTCTGAACTTGTTTCTTTCATATACCGGTAAAATAGAAGCATATTACTTTTCATTTAGATTTTGGTTTCAGTCCTTATAGCTGGAACCTTTTTAATCCCTGCAAGAACATCCAGTGTAGGGTGACCATCCTGAATCGATGGACCAAAAGGTGCTTTGTGACCCTTTATAGCAATAGACTTGTGATGAACTGTGATGATAACAATGATGATGATGATAATGATGTTCGAATCGATTCGTTCGGAAGATAGGAACAAGAAAGACCCAGGATGGTCATATTGTATTCTTCGTTAAAAACAATAACAATAAGGTAGCCAATTCCGTTAATAGTTTCTTTAATGACACAAATTTACTTATAATTTTAGCAAAAACTTAATAGGTTGTTGCCTTAGTTTTTTACTTATAAAATAATTGGTTTTTTGTATTAAGCTTTACTGCATGAAATAATAACTCTGTTTTTTTGTGTTTATTATTACACCTACATGATAATGATGAGTGATGATGCATATTTCATAAAAGATCTTAGCTGTCATGAAATTAAAAAAGATGGTCAAGTATGTGTTACGAAGACCAAAATATCTCTAAATTTTCTAAAGTTTAATTTTTTAATAGTGGGAAGTATGCTGCATTATAATATACATAATATTAGGTTTAAATTGAAACATAAGTTGAAAGAATATGCTGTAACTATTTAAGTAATTTATGTTAATGTATAAAAATCCTGTGATACGAATTTCGTTCACGCTAATCACCAACACCGCTCAACCAATTTTAATAAAATTTTCTAAATGTGTATTTTTTGCTTCAACTTGAGAGATATTTATCTTTAAGGGTATTTTATAGACCTAAGTATCATCAGAAAAGGCAGATTACTGTCTGCCTGGCTAGTTAATATATTATAAAAAGCTCACCTAGACGACAGAATAAATATAAAAAATAAATGTTTTAAGAATGCTTTTTAATCGATTTTAAAAAGGGGGAGTTACTCAATTCGACTGTTTGTTTCTGTTACCTCATTACTTTTTCCTAGGTGAACCGATTTCGATGATTCTTTTTTTTATTTGGAAGCTGGTGCTTCTCATGTGGTCCCATATAAATATATATATATGGGAAAAATATATATTGATCACGGTCTGACCAATAGTTTATGAGTTATCCTTAATAGTTTATATTGAAGTCGATTGTACAAAATTTTTAATTTTACCACTTGTCAGTAACATTCGCATTGAATAGTGGTAACGCATAAAAAACGAATTACATATTCCTATCGAGCAAAATATTCCTTTTTATATCACAAACGTTAGAGGCCGCGCAATCAACTCACCATGAATCAGATGAATGGTATAGGAACGCATATAGACTAGCGACTCTCCCCAGTTAAGATTTAGAAGAAGTTTTCTTCCTCGCACAACTTCCTTGTGGAATAGTTTACCACCAGCGATTTTTCCGGACCGATACGACTTAGGGACCTTCAAGAAAAGAGCCTACTCATTTTTAAAAGGCCGACAACGCATCTGCAATTCCCCTGGTTCCCCTGGTGTTGCGGTTGTTCATCGGCGGCGGTAGTCACTTACCATCAAGTGAGGCGCATGCTCGTTTGCCCCCTCTCCTATAAAAAAATAGCGCCAGTGCGTTTTACCGTTAGAGTATTTAGAAGCTTATTTATACCCTAAGCCCTAAGATTTTACCTGTGTGGTGTTAATGTTTTCGTTGTTTTGTTTTTTTTTAAACTAAATATTTAAGAAAATATCCTCACATAAAAACTTACCTTTTAGTTTCTTTCTTCAAATAAATGCCTGTACTTCCATACATTTAAAAAAATTCTAAACTTATTTACAGAGAGACTGCGCCGTAGCGGAGGTTACGGTGGTGGTGGCGGAGGAGGTGGTGGCGGCGGATTTGGGTATGGAGGCGGCGGAGGCGGAGGCTTCGGCTACGGCGGTGGCGGCGGAGGCGGAGGTGGAGGAGGAGGAGGCTTCGGAAGTGGCCTAGGGGGCGGCCTCGGCCTCGGAGGTGGCCTTGGTGGCGGACTCGGCGGTGGACTCGGTGGCGGCCTAGGAGGAGGCCTGGATATCATTCACAAAGGCGTGCACGATATAATTGGGAAAGTCCACTCCGGAGTATCACATTTAGGCGGTTTAGGGGGTGGCATAGGAGGTGGTGCCGGTATAGGTGGTGGTGCTGGAGGAGGCTTAGGAGGTGGTGCAGGAGGCGGCGCGGGATTAGGAGGCGGCGCTGGAGGTGGCTCTGGTTTGGGCGGAAAAGATGAAAAAGTAATATATACCAAATCTGACGATGGAAAATCAGGTGGATTCGCCTTCACTGGATCTCTAGATGGTGGAAAAGGTGGATACGGTGGCGGTGGAGGATACAGTAGCAGTGGCGGTGGAGCTGGATTCGGCGGAGGTGCCGGTGGAGGCACTGGTGGCGGTACAGGAGGAAGTCACGGTGGTGTTAGTGGAAGCAGTGTAGGAGGAGGTTCTGGATTCGGAGGGAATGTCGGAGGATCTGGAAGCTCAGGTGGTTATGGAAGCGGATCTGGATTCGGAGGCAGTAGCGGTATAGGAGGAGGCAGTGGAAACGGAGGCCATGATGGTGGACATGGTGGTGTTGGTGGAGGATCTGGAAGTTTTGGAGTAAGCGGAGGAGGCAGTGGATACGGCGGTGCCAGTAAAGGAGGGGGAAATAGCGGTGGCATTGGAGGAAGCCTCGGGGGTTCTTCTACTGGATTTGGAAGCAGTGGTTCGTCTGGTGGAGCTGGCGGAGGTTTTGGAAGTGGAGGTCAAGGAGGAAGTAGCGGATTTGGTGGAGGAAGTGGGCATGGAGGAGGCAGTGGACATGGCGGTGGCAGTGGACTTGGCGGTGGTAGTGGACATGGCGGTGGCAGTGGACTTGGTGGAGGTGGTGGACTTGGTGGTGGTAGTGGAGGTAGTGGAAGCGGAGGCTATGGCGGTTTCGTCAGCGGAGGTGGATCGGGAGGCCATGGTGGATCTGGAGGATTTGGAAAAGGCACTGGAGGAAGTGGCAGCCTAGGTGGCGGAGTTGGACTTGGTGGTGGTTTTGGAGGTGGTAGTGGGTTTGGTGGAGGCTCCGACACAGGCATAAGCCATGGGGGAGCCGGTGGCCTAGGAGGAGGATCTGGAAGTCATGGAAGTGGTGGATATGGAGGAAATAGTGGGAAAGGCGGAGGCTTGGGTGGTGGAGCTGGACTTGGCGGTGGGTTTGGGGGTGGTAGTGGGTTCGGTGGCGGCTCCGGCGCTGGCTCAAGTCATGGAGGATCCGGTGGCCTAGCAGGAGGTTCTGGAGGTCATGGAAGTGGTGGATATGGGGGAAGTGGTGGGCAAGGCGGAGGCTTGGGTGGTGGATCTGGAGGAATCGGAAAAGGCAGTGGAGGAAGTGGTGGCCTAGGAGGTGGAGCTGGACTTGGCGGTGGTTTTGGGGGTGGTAGTGGGTTCGGTGGCGGCTCCGGCGCAGGCTCAAGTCATGGAGGAGCCGGTGGCCTAGGTGGAGGATCTGGAGGTCATGGAAGTGGTGGATATGGAGGAAGCGGTGGTCTAGGCGGAGGCTTGGGTGGTGGATTAGGAGGTGGTTTAGGCGTAGGTTTTGGAGGAGGCCTAGGTGGGGGCCTCGGTGGGGGTCACGGTAGTGGATTCGGTGGCGGAAATGACGTGGGCGGAGGAAATGGTTTCGGAGGAGGTAGTGGACTTGGTGCCGGTGGCTGTGGCTCAGGTTCATGTGGTGGGGGCTCTGCGGGTTACGGATCTAAAGGTCATGGCTGCGGTAGTGGGTCCTGTGGTGGTTACGGAAGCCATGCCCACAGCGGCTATGCCTTGGCTTCAGCCAGCGCACACGCTTCTGCGTCAGCAAGCGCGAGCACTTATGGATAAACTTCCAAATTGAGTACATTTTATATATTTTAAAAAAATTAATCGGCAAATTTTTATTTTATTATATAAACTTACTTATATTATTAGTACAGTTAAGTAGAAATTGAATTAAGATAAACTATGAAAACATTTGTCACTTAATTTTTATATGAAGTACTCTGTCTGTGATTATAGTTGATAGTGAATATATTGTCTTTTTATATATAAAAGTCTTTTTCTTCAGTGTGGTATATAATTTCCTATGGTGGCGGCCTAAGAGAGTACATCATCGCATATCGACGACTTTGAAAACAGAAAGACCTCATGACCTCAGATAGCTTGGGATATATCATCTCATTATATATCACACTTCAACAAGGTCCGCTAATAAACTTTAGCCTCTCCATGGATTTCCTTTTATATGGAGATATTTAGCATAGTTGCCACGCTGGGCAGGCGGGTTGGCAACCGCAGTTTTACTTTGCAATACAAGTTGCAATAATGAAGTCGCTACTGCCCGTCTGCAGCATGAGCCGTGATAGCCCAGATGGTTAGCGCTCGCGGTAAGTTTCACAGTACTCGAGCAACCCGAGCCCCGCCGGGATCAGTGGAATTGTTAATTGCAATTTTAAGTGCTGATTTACCACGTGCTCGGTGGTGAAGGAAAACATCGTGACGAAATGTTTCCTCACGATGTTTAGCAGGTGCATGTCTGAGAAATAAGAAAACATTATATTTCGGAGACATGTGAAATTCACCAACACACGCTGGGGCAGCGCGGCGGACATTTTCTTGCCCTAACCCTTTCAGAAATTAGAGGAGGCTTGTGCCCAGCTGTGTCGTCACACAACTGGGCACTGGCCTCCTATTTAGGCAGTAATTTTAACTTTTACTGTCGGTCTTCTGGTTTGTTTGGTTCGAATTTATATTCGAGTCCATAAACCGATTTTATTGTGGGGACACGGTAGTTGCATACATTTTGCTGATTGAACATTTTGTACTTCAGTCCGGAGGCGTTCAGCGGCGAACGCCAGTCGTTCCCCGTCATTGACTACGCTAGGCTGTTGCCAACTAGAAAATATTATTAACGTGTAAACTTGTGATTTAGTAATACAGATATCAGTGAGTTTGAGACTTTATTTATTGCACCCAATAGGCACCTGTAGCTCCTTCTGTAAGTCATATGACGATGTTATCAGGTATAAGTAACAGCTACATAATTAGCCAATAACACACACATACCCCACACTCCAACATCGTACAGTATCTAGTATAATGGCTACTTTGCACCAGTGTCTTAGCACGCCATACCACTGCGTTCAACGATGTTTGGTGGCATTCTGCAGGAACAAACTTCCGTGTAGTGGCGGTTAAGAATATCCACTACCCCATATCTTCCCGTGGGTGTCGTAAAAGGCGACAAAGGGAAACAGGCAGGAGATGGGCAGCAGTATCTTCCTGATAACAACAAACTTACAATAAAAAAACTGCGGTTCCCAACCCGCTCGCCAAGCGTGGCAACTATGGCAAATACCCCCCTATGACAAGAGTAACAAAGAAACGGCCCCCAGTCCCCGGCGGCCCCACTATTCCTGGCTACGGTGGCGACCATGGTAACGGCGGGGCAGGGGGCGCTAAGAATCTCCGGTGGAGGTTCGGTTGCCACCTAAGACGACTCGACCTGGCAACATACAACGCAGGCACCCTGAGGACTGACGAGAAGATCGTGAAGTTGGAAGAAGAGATAGACAAGTTACGTTGGCATATTATAGGATTATCCGAAGTCCGAAGAGAGGGGGAGAACACGGTAATGCTCGATTCCCGCAACTTGCTCTATCACCGGGAGGGCGACCATTTGTCCCAAGGAGGTGTCGGATTTATCGTCCACAAGTCTCTCGTTAACAACGTTGTAAAGATTGAGTGTGTCGACGAGGGTTGCGTACCTTAAACTCAGAATCACCAAACGGTATTCTCTGAAGGTCATACAGGTTTACGCACCAACCTCGGCACACCCTGATGAGCAGGCGAAGGAAATTTATGAGGATATCTCTAGAGCCATGCATTCCTCCAAAACCCAATATAAGGTGTTAATGGAAGACTTCAATGCAAAACTAGGCACAAGAGAGAACGGTGAGCTGAAAGTAGGGAATAGGGCAACGGAACCCAAGGGGCCAACAGCTGGCCGACTTCATGGAGATAGAGGAACTCTTTATGATGAACTCTTTCTTCCAGAAGCGGCCCCACAGGAAGTAGACCTGGTCGAGCCCCGACGGTTCCACAAAAAATGAGATTGACTTCATTATGACGACCAGAGGACAACTGTTCAGTGATGTCTCCGTGATCGCGAGGGTGAAAACTGGTAGCGATCACCGAATGGTTAGAGGCACACTGAAACTAAACGTTAAGTTGGAGAGGTCTCGTCTAATGAAGTCAACGCTCCGTCCCCCTCTTGCTCTGTTCCAAAGTCCCGTAACCTTTCAGCTCGAGTTACAAAACCGTTTTCAGTACCCAGAAGACTGCAATGAAGTTGACGAAGTTCGTAGAAACTGTCCATGCGGTCGCAGCTAAGTTCTGCAAGACCCGCCGCAGAAGAGCACAAAAACTCTCCGATCACACTCTCAATCTCATGGCTGTTAGACGGGAGATGAAGCTACATTCTTCAACAGATTTGACAGCATACAGGCAACTGAACAGACAGATCTCCAAATGCATACGGTGGGACTTAGCTTGTATTGAAGAAGCGATCGAGCGGAACCAAGGCTCCAAAGTCTTTGCCAGAGATCTGTCTGCCAGAAAGAGCCAACTGTAGAAGCTGAAGACCGAGTATGGCAGCATCGTTTCCGGGGCACCTGAGATTTTGAGAGAGGTTGAGAGGTTCTATGGGCAGCTTTACATGTCATCGTTGGAGCCACACGCAAGTGTGAGTAACGATCCAAGAGAGAGTCTAATCCGACACTATTCCGAAGATATCCCGGACGTTAGTCTGAGCGAGATTAGAATGGCTCTCCGGCACCTTAAAAACGGCAAGGCCCCAGGCGAGGATGGAATTACAGCGGAGCTTTTGAAAGCGGGTGGAAGACCGGTACTTGAAGTCCTTCAGAAGCTCTTTAATTCCGTCCTCCATGGTGGCATTACACCGGAGGCGTGGAGCAGAAGTGCGGTGGTCTTGTTCTTGAAGAAAGGTGCTCTCTTGAAGAACTACAGACCGATTTCCCTTCTGAGCCGCGTCTACGTGCTGTTTTCGAGAGTCATTACGAATCGTCTCGCGCGCAGACTTGACGACTTCCAGCCTCCCGAACAAGCCGGTTTCCGAAAGGGCTTTAGCACCATAGACCACATACATACCCTTCGGCAAATTGTACAGAAGTCCGAAGAGTAAGCACTATGCTCAATGACCTCAATAGTGTTTCCCAACGGATTGGTCTTAAGATGAACATGGACAAAACAAAGATCATGTTTAATGTCCATGTCACACCTATGCCGGTAGTTGTTGGGAACACTAAGCTCGAAGTTGTTGACGAGTATGTTTACCTGGAACAAATAGTCCGAATAGGTAAGTCCAACTTCGACCGAGAGGTCAATCGACGAATTCAACTCGGCTGGGCAGCGTTCGGGAAACTACGACACATCTTCTCGTCAGACATACCTCAAAACCTTAAAACGAAATTGTACAACCAGCGCGTGTTACCAGTGATGACTTACGGATCTGAGACGTGGTCCTTTACTGCTGGCCGTATGAGGAAGCTCAAGGTCGCTCAGCAAGCCATGGAGAGGGCTATGTTCGGGGTTTCTCTGCGTGATAAACTTAGAAATGAGTATATCCGCAGTAGAACCAGAGTAACCGACATAGCCCAACGGATTAGTAAGCTGAAGTGGCAGTGGGCCGGCCATATATCTTGAAGAACCGACAACCGATGGGGAAGAAAGGTTCTCGAGTGGCAGCCTCGTACCGGTAGGCGAAGTGTAGGGCGACCCCCCACGAGATGAAGTGACGACCTGGTAAGACATGCAGGAAGTCGATGGATGCAGGTGGCTCAGGACCGTGCTTTGTGGCATTCCTTCGGGGAGGCCTATGTTCAGCAGTGGACTTATGAAAGGCTGTAATGATAATGATGATGATACAACATATGGGATATAATATGTGACAGCAATATGTACTACTATACTTGCATCTTATATAAGGTGAGAAGTTGTCCCTGTGTGAAATACCGCTTTACTGCAAGGGCTAGTTTTCTTGCGGTTGTTTTGCTTAGCCTTGAATTTTCGTAACAGCAACCACAGGCACAGGTGCGCGTGCTTACGGGTTATGGTACTATTGTGTAAAGTTCAATCTTTATCCTTAGATATAATCTAAGTCTTTATCATAACGACACATGGAACACGAGTCCAGCTCAAAGCTTCCGGTCTGATTGAGGCTCAGAAATGTTAGAAATTATTATTATTATTAAAAAAAGATAGCATTGGTGTCAATCTTTTAGTGAGTTTCTTCAAGAGAAATGTAAATGATGAAGAAGGAATGTAAATATGAAATTTAACAATATCTTAAAAATGCGAAGATATTCCAAAACATTAATAAAATCATCCATTAAGTCTATAAATAATTAATTGTAGGATAACAAAACAAGCACACGGTTCGCCTGATGGTTATGACGCTTGAAAACGAGATTGTACAACCAGTGCGTGTTGCCAGTGATGACCTATGGACCTGGGACGTGGTTCTTCACTGCTGGCCGTATGAGGAAACTCAAGGTCGCTCAGCGAGCTATGGACAGGGCTATCCTCGGCGTTTCTCTGAGTGTTAGACTTAAATATGAAGATAGAACGAGCAGAACCAGAGTAACCGACATAGCCCAACGGATTAGTAAGCTGAAGTGGCAATGGGCCGGCCATATAGCTCGAAGAACCGACAACCGATGGAGAAAAATGTTTTTCGAGTGGCAGCCTCGTATAGATAGGCGAAGTGTAGGGCGATACCTCACTAGATGCAGTGACGGCCTGGTAAGACATGCAGGAAGTCGATG